AGCCTCCCATCAAGCATTAGGGGAATTACCAATAAACCCCTGGCTGCCTTCAAGAGAGAGCTGGACAGATACCTAAAGTCAGTGCTGGATCAGCCGGGCTGTGGCTCGTACGTTGGACTGCGTGCGGCCAGCAGTAACAGCCTAGTTGATCAGGCCCTGATCCATCGGGAGGCCTGGTCATGGACCGGGCCGCGGGGGCGTTGATCCCTGGAATAACCTCCAGGTGACCAGGTAATGTATACTTGTATTTATGTGTACCTATGAGATAGAGATACAGACAGATAGACAGAGATAAACAGGGATAGACAGAGACAAAGACAGAGACAGAGATAGACATAGATACAGACAGACAAACGGAGATAGAGCCAGGCTGCCAGGAGCCAGCCAGCCACACAGCTGGCCAACATGCAGCTGGCCAGCCAGCTAGCCAGCCAATCAGTCATCCAGTCAGGCAGCCAGCCTGCCAGCCAGACAGAATTGTTTCTCTTGACTTAGGGCATAAGTTATAAGACATTCTGAAAGGGTGTTGCACAAATATTGCACATGGGTTATTATCAAGGTTTTTTATACATGTATTTCCTCGACCACTTGTGGCCACATCCACCTCAGAGCCACTAAATTCAGGGTCAAAATCACTTTGTTCATAAAATGGGAGTGTTAATACAACGTGACATCAGTGAATCCCAGGTGTTTGCTGTGCTGTTTGCCCTAGCTGGCACTCATTTGAACTGGTGCTCCCACAAGGTACTAAGTGGTCCCAGATTCTTTTAATACCGCACACACTGAGTGTTAGGACCCATTCTATGCTGACAATGCATCTCAAGCCAATCGTGCTAAATTTCAAGGCAGGAAAAATAAAACGTATATATACGTTTGGGGCACTAGTGGTAAAAACGTATATATACGTTTGGACCGTTTACGGGTTAAAATCCCTAACAGTGCCCCTCTAGTCTTAATGCCATAGTAATACTAATAATACATGATAATAATCTCTCTTGGGCTCATTAGATATCTTATTTTATGTTAATACAGACATTTTCATTAATCCATCTGTGATATTTTCTTCAAAATTATATAAGAAACATGTTAAATAGCATATGAACATGCTAAGCTTATATGCTATGGAGGTGTGGTAGCCAGGCGGAGGGAAAAAATTATGTTTTCTCTGGTTCAGCATCAGAGAAAATGTGTATAAATCTGCGTTTGGCCCAGTCACTCCCCTTAACACTCCACTTTTGTTTATAATTCTCGGCATGAATTATTCATTACTTCTCCCTTCATTTATGATGGCATCTGAAGGTAGTTGTTCGGAACGATTAAGCTAAGTGAACAAGGAATATTGATGGTAATAATATGGCTCTGAGCTGCATTAAATATCGTATAGCTATGTAGGTAGGTGTAGCCCACGTGGGCTACACCTACCGACTACCTACACCTGACTTCTTGCAAATAAATACTACTCACCTCTCGTCCTACATTAAGACTACACATATTTTAAGGTAAATAATGAGTGTACTGTATGTGTATTTTATCTCTGGGGTGTTTTAACCCTCTGACTATCACAAACCCCTTTCTGAAACTGTCATTCTGTATCGAAAAATTTTTTGGAAAAAAAATTATTTTTTCTTATGAAATGATAATTTTTTCCCGATGATAATTACACCAAAAGTACAAAATTTGATTGAAAACTTACGGAATTGTGCTCCCGCGAAGTTAGCAATCTCGGCGATATATATATGCATCGTCGATTTCACCGACTTTGAGCCCTATTTTCAGTTAATTCCATTGTTCCAGTCGGCCACACTTGTAGCTATTTCTTTAGAACTCCACTTTTTCTATCAATTGAGTACAAAAAACTGCCCATTTACTGATTTCAACTACTCAATAAAGTGGTCAGAAATTGGCAATTTGGCCAATTTCACGCAAATTAAAAAAGATGCCAATTTCAAAATAGGGTCCAGAATAAACAATGCAGACATTCTTGGCACTAAAATAACATATCCTCTGTTCATTAGTCATGTCTCTAGGCCCCTCTTATATTACTCTTGCTTTATATTTTGATTTTTTATTCAGGTCCTTGATCTGTATTCCCTCGAACGCAGGCGAGAGAGATGCATGATAATACAGTGGACCCCCGGTTCACGATATTAATCCATTCCTGAGAGCTCATCGTAAACCAAAATTATCGGAAAGCAAATCAGTTTTCCCCATAAGAAATAATGGAAATCAAATTAATCCATGCAAGACACCCAAAAGTATGAAAAAAACTTTTACCACATGAAATATTAAGTTTAATGCAATAGAATAATTACAATAACAACAATAACAATAGAATAATTGACACTTACCTTTAATGAAGGCTTATGTCCTGGGAGTGCCTTTTCCTCCTGAGTAATGTAGGTCCTGCTTGGCAATTTCTTCCAAAACAGGCCTGTTTCGTTGCAATTAAACACTTGTTCAGGTTTCAAGTCTTCACTGTCTATGTAATCCTTGAATTCTTTCACATATTTTTCAGCTGCTTTTTGGTCTGAACTGGCAGCCTCACCATGCCTAATCACACTATGTATGTCACTACGATTCTTAAATCTTTCAAACCAATCTTTGCTGGCCTTAAATTCACTCACATCACCACTAGTTGCAGGCAATTTCTTTACCAAATCATCATGCAACTGCCTTGCCTTTTCACTAATGATCGCTTGAGAGATGCTATCTCCTGCTATCTGTTTTTTATTTATCCACACCAATAACGGTCTCTCAACATTTTCTAACACTTGCGGTCGCTGTTTCGCTGCACTTTTGCAAGAACATCTTCCTTGATTGCCGTTTTCCTGGTCACTATAGTAGAGATGGTTGATTGGGGTTTACTATACAACTTGGCCAGCTCCGACACATGCACTCCACTTTTGTACTTTGCAGTTATCTCTTTCTTCATTTCAATAATCATTAGCACTCTTGGTCTCGAAGGGTTGGCACTAGAAGCTTTCTTGGGGCACCAAAAACAGTGATAATATGGATAATATGGAATGTACCGAATTATTGAGTATATATATGTCCGAAACACTGGCTCATAAAGAATATATATACAGTGGACCCCCGCCATAGCGACCTTTAATCCGTGCAGAGGGCTGGTTGTTATGCGAAATGTTCGGTATGCGAATGAATTTTCACCATAAGAAATAATGGAAATCAAATTAATCCGTGCAAGACACCCAAAAGTATGAAAAAAAAAATTTTACCACATGAAATATACATTTTCCTACCACACAAAGAGAAGGATACATGCACAGTAGTAGAGTAGTACATGCACATTATATATTGTGCATGTACTGCTCTACTAAATGAAGAATAAAGGGACACTTACCTTTATTGAAGATGCAGCAATGACTGATGAGACACTGTGTCCTGGGAGTGCCTTTTCCTCCTGAGTACTGTAGGTCCTGTTTGGCATTTTCTTCCAGAACAGGCCTTATCACACTGTGTATGCCACTACGATTCTTAAATCTTCAAAACCAACCTTTGCTGGCTTTAAATTCACCAATATGCCCAAACTAGTTCCAGGCATTTTTTTCCTGTTCACCTGGGTGTTAGTCGACTGGTGGGGGTTTTGCATCCTGGGAGACAAGATTAAGGACCCCAATGGAAATAAGTTAGACAGTCTTCGATGACACTGACTTTTTTGGGTTATCCTGGGTGGCAAATCCTCTGGGGTTAATTGTTTCTTGGTATTCTCAATAAGCCACACCAACAACAGTGCTACAGCAGCAGCAGCAGCTGACGGTGGTACAGCAGCAACAGACGATGCTACAGGGAGCAGCAGACGATGCTACGCAGCAGCAGACGATGCTACAGCAGCAGCAGACGATGCTACAGCAGCAGCAGACGATGCTACAGCAGCAGCAGACGATGCTACAGCAGCAGCAGACGATGCTACAGCAGCAGCAGACGATGCTACAGCAGCAGCAGACGATGCTACAGCAGCAGCAGACGATGCTACAGCAGCAGCAGACGATGCTACAGCAGCAGCAGCAGCAGCAGCTGACGGTGGTACAACAGCGCAGCAGCTGACAGTGCAGCAGCAGCTGACGGTGGTACAGCAGCAGCTGTACCACCAATAGTAGCGATGGTTGATTGGGGTTTATTATTACAACCTGGCCAGCTCGGAGACACGCACTCCACTTTCATATTTATCAATGATCTTTTTCTTCATCTCTATAGTAATCTCACTCTTATTGCTGTAGGTTGGCACTAGAAGCTTTCTTGGGGCCCATGGTCACTTATTTTCCAGAAAAAATCACCAAAAACACTGTAATAATACGAAATGTTCCGATTGTATGCTTGGATGTTACTGCGGAGGCTGGCTGGTAAACAATGCCACCCGGCGGAACTTGTGAGCGTGGCTCAGGCCGCACATTGGACGCGTCTCGGACGAAGGGCGGTGAGCGGGTTTTTGGGCGGTATGCGAGGCAAAATTTTTGCGAAAAAAGCGAGCGGTATGCGGATTGTACGGTATGCGATGCGTGCGGTATGCGGGGGTCCACTGTACTACCAAAACAGTCAAAGGGTTAAAATCTTGTATATTAAGTTTGGGATGGGGAGCCAGGGCTACCTACACCTGACTTCCTACAAGTAAGTACTATTCACCTCTCGCCTTACATTAAGACTACAAATATTTTAAGGTAAGTAATGAATGTACTCTGTATGTATTTTACTTTTTATTGTGTATTTTAATGCCTAGTTCTATTACTAGCTTAATATAAGTTAGTGTAAACTTGTTGTCATGCATTTATAAGTGAAAAATGGCATTCTGCTCTCAGGTGATTTTTGCTTTAAGGTGTAGCCTGGAACCTAACCTGCCATGTAAATGGGGCCCTACTGTATACTGATATTGTCAGGAATTCCACTAATGGTTCAGTAGTGCTATTTCAGTTAGTTTGGTTTATCACAGGATAAGTTCTTGGCACTCTTGTTGGCTGGTATTATTACATTTGCTTCTTTTCCAGATAAAGGGAAGACTTGTGGCAAAAAAAGCAAAAAAGAAAAAGGGTAAGAAATCAGTTGGACAAGTTAGTAAGGATGTGACCCATGAAGAATGTGTTGACGAGAATCTTCCTTCAAGCCCAGTAGATAAAGATACAATACCCACTCAGATGAAGATGTGTTCTACAAAGAAAAATACTCTCTTGAAAACAAAAATTGCTGTTAAAAAACACTTTCTCAGAGAAACAGTTCAGATTCAGCTGTTGCAGTTGAAAATTGTTCCTAAGATAAGTTTTTCTACTGATACATCTGAGCAAAATGAGGAGCAGACGATTAAGGAAAAATCTCCAATGAGTGGAAGCTAAACAAGAATCAAGGCCAGGCAAATAAGCTGCTCAAAAAGGCGCTAGTGGTGTCACCCATAGTAACATCAGAATCTGTGAGTAAGACAATATCTGCTAAAAGAATTTTTGAAAATAGGTTCTGAGACAGATCAGGGCCAATAGCATGAGTGGTATAAATGATACTTACAGTGTGTCTCCATCATTAGGAACACCATTACAGACAGTAACTCAGAAGCCAAGAAAAAATCTTATGAAAATTAAAACTCCAAAGAGCACAATCCTGACGACAGATGATTTGGCTCAGAATCAGAATATCGAGACAAGGATTTTTATTAGATTAACACAAGAGGAAAAAGTTATCGACACCTTTTAAGAAATCTAAAATTTCTTCAACAAGCAAAAAACCTAAAGCTAAACTTCAAAAGAGTAAAATTGTAAAGGAAACTACAGAAGAAACAGAGTCTGTGGATAAGTCTTGTCCAAAATACTGAACGTTTTGCAGTCTGCACAGGAAGTACAATTGACCACAAATGTCAAGGAAATTAAAACTCCAAAAAGTCTAAAACTCATATAAAGAGAATATTTTCAGAAGTGACAGTATTTCAGAGCCTGTTCAGACAGACAGATTATACAAGTTGCACACTCACTGGGAGAGAGAGAGCAATTCTCAACTCGCAAGAAACTAAAAATCACAAAGAAAACATTGCCTTCAGAGGTAACAGTATACCAGGTTGCACATCCTATGCAAGCTCTTGAAGAGCAAAGTACACCAACTGAGGTAACACAGTTACACTCAGAACTGAAGAAATCCAAAACCCCTAAGAAGAGGAAAGTAGACCAGGTACCTGAGGAGCTAAGTGCACTGGTTGAAGTAAAACACTTAGACAATGAGCTGAAGAAAGCCAAAACTCCTAAGAAGGGCATAACTCCTAAGAATACCTCATCAAAAATAACACACAGCTCAGTTTATACTGAGCAGACACCCAAAACAAGAAGTGGAAAAATTGTGCAGACTCCCAAAATGTCAAGCTCTGGTGAGCCAGTGTGTAAGAAGAGAAAATTTGCAAAATTCACCATTTTACAGAATGATGATGCATCTATGAAAATAAAGAAAAATGCAATTGCTACTCCTGTACATAGAATTTCAACTCAAGCAAAAGTTTAAACCTAAAATACTCAAGAGTGCTTAGCTTAATTCTACTTAGTTATTCTAGTTACAATGCAGTTTACTTAAATGGTTGAAAATTGTTTTATTTTTTACTTCAGGACATAAACTTCATTTACTAATCAGACTTTCAGTTGACAGTTATGGGTAAATTAGATTTTTATACATTGTACTTTCAAATATTTGTATGTATTACTTTAAAGAAAATTTTATATTCATTGGAGGGAAAAGGGGAAAAATTTGGTTTTATGCCAGTAAGGTTAAATGTAGCAAGAGATGTATATCTCTGTATAGTACTACATACACGCGAGAATTTATTTTAGGATTAAATTATCCTTGACTGGTAATTTACAGGTTACATGAAACATTAATAACCTTCTGGTAGTAAATTTTAAATAAAAGAAACCAAGCTATGCCAGTGATGTGAGACTGTTGCCATTTAATATATTTCATGTATTGTAGTATTTTCCCACTGCTGTAACTTATTGCAGGAAAGGAAAGTCAGCCACTGGGTTACTGTGCAGGTTACTTTTTTTTTTTAATTAAATGACTTCTATATAGGATATAATGCCATTTTGTCTATACTACCTCTCCTTGACCCTTGACCAAGATGCCATAATTTCCTGGACCCAAGGAAGTAAGAGTCTCTAGTTTATCTTATGTTATACCTGATTAACTTCCAATCCTGAAGTGCTGTATGACCCTCATGGGTTTAGCACTTCATGAATAAAAATAATATCGTTTGAGGTAAGCCAGTTGCTCCATATTGAATGGTGGCCCGGTGGCCTGGTGGCTAAAGCTCCCGCTTCACACACGGAGGGCCCGGGTTCGATTCCCGGCGGGTGGAAACATTTCGACACGTTCCTTACACCTGTTGTCCTGTTCACCTAGCAGCAAATAGGTACTGGGTGTTAGTCGACTGGTGTGGGTCGCATCCTGGGGGACAAGATTAAGGACCCCAATGGAAATAAGTTAGACAGTCCTCGATGACGCACTGACTTTCTTGGGTTATCCCGGGTCGCTAACC